TGAAGATCATGCCCCTCCATGTGGAGAGGGTTTACATTATATAGGTTTTCTAAGGCGATGAGGCGGTGACGTGAGGAAGGGGTCTTCCCACTATTTTGGTAAGTACAATTTTGGTAGGAGTAGACTTCTTTGGTAAGCACAGTTAAGGTAGGAATAGATCTCCGTGCGTATCCCGATATTCTCTCCCTCGTATCCTTATTTCGTCGGAGGAGGACTCTGAGCTGGGTTGGATTGGACTTGAGCCTGAGCCTAGACTTGAATTGGAGTGACAAATTCAAGAGGGCGAAGTAAAGGCAGGAGGACCAACTGGGCGGCGCCCCCTTGTGGTGTCCCTTGGGCGGCGCCCCCTTGAGGTGTCCCTTGGGCTTAGGCTCCTCCTGATGTCTTAGACTCCTCCTTGATAACTTGGACTTCTTTCGGACTTCGATGACGTAGGCCCCTGTTGATTCATTGGGTCTAGCCCAGTTAATTTTGGGCTCATCAAAACCCATGAGGGTTTCTTCATCCCATCCCCACACACCACGAGAACCCGTAAAACCACCTTTAATTTCATAACAAACACTCATAAATCATTTACAAATCACAATTCAAGCTAAAATCAAACCAAACTTCAAACCCATTTATATATCAACTAAAACCCAAAAATTTTAAAATGAAAATTGATGCTCAAACAGGTTTTAAGCATCATTAATGGACTCCTAGCACCCTAATTTGGCTTGAAACTTAACCCTTGATGCTCGAATAAGCCTCTCTCAAAATTTACTCCTCACACCTTCTCTTTCTCTCTCTAACTTCTCTCTTCAATTCTCTCTCTTCCCACTGGTTCTACCTGATCCACACACTCAACAGAGGCCTTTAGTAGCCTCTCAAACCTTCTAGACTGTTGCAGAGTGATGGGGAGCCTCCTGGTGTAGTCAGGCAGCAACTTGGAAGGAAATGTCATGCAATGACATTTTCATAAATATCTTAAATCTGATTTTTTTTTTAATTTAATTTAATTTTTTTTATTATTACATACATATTAAAATATGCATTATAAAAATATTTTCCTAATTTTTTATATTCAAGTATTATGCATGTATGCTCGGGTTTCACAACTCTCCCCTCCTAAATAAAATTTCGCCCCCGAAATTTACTTATGTTATGAAAACAAATCAGGATATTACTCTTTCATATTCTCCTCAATTTCTCAAGTAGCATCCTCAAGTGAGTGACTCCTTCATAAGACCTTTACTAACGGATTGGTCTTATTACGTAATACCTTCTCTCGATGAGTCAAAATTTGTACTGGCTCCTCAATGTAAGTCAAATTTTCTTTTAATTCTACAGGTTGCTCAACCAATACATGAGACGGGTTGAGTATATACTTCTGGAGTATACAAACATGAAATACGTTATGTAAATGAGACAACTCCGAACGTAAATATAATCGATAAGCTGTAGCTTCAACCCTTCCTAAAATCTCATAGGGTCCAATGTTTCTTAGACTAAATTTTCCCTTCTTTCCAAATCTCAACGCATATTTTTCGTGTCATATTCTCATAAATGTCTAATCCCTCATTGTAAATCTTCAAATGTCTAATTTGCTTATCAATATAAGTATCACCCATCACAAATTTTAAATGCTTCGATTGCTTATCAACATACCTTTTCTATCTGCTTTAAATAATCTTTAGTCTTACTTGAATCACTTCATCTTTTTCTATAATTACATACATATTAAAACATGCACTATAAAAATATTTTCCTAATTTTTTATATCCATGTACTATGCATGTGTGCTCGGTTTCCACAACAAGCTTGCACACTGGTTAGTTCCATGCAAGAGGTGATCATAGTGGACTGTTTTTGCTACTATGACACTTGAAAGACCTCTAATGCGTACACGTGCATTTGAAATCCTCTCTCAATAACTCTTGGAGTTCATCATATCTTTGTTGGACATGCAATAGTTGAGAATTGGTATTAAACACGCCTCTGTTGAATATGCAACCAGCAATAAAACCTGCACATTCCTTTAAACCCTATATTTGTATATTAGATTCTCATCATATGTCCTCTTTTTAAGTGCCTATGTTGAACACCCTGTTATATATAAACACCAGTCTACCCTAGGAAAGGAAAGGAGGATGTTGGAAAGAATATTTAGGCTTGTCTCCTTGGCATTCAATATAGGGATTGCATATATCTGACAGACACACCCACATGAGGACAGACGATAGAGTATCCTCAGGAGATAAATAGTTGCACATTTAGAGCAGAAATAAACACCCCCAGTAAATTCACTTGAGGAAGAACTAACAAGACTCCACTAATTATGCCTATAACTTACTGAAGGTTGTCAAATAGACTCAGGTAATCTCATAATTGTTGGGTTTTGTTTATAATGATATTTGCTCAATTTTTGGACAATACTTGGTGTATGATCTGAAACTGATATGTGATATCCATAGAAATGGCATGTGTCATTTGCTTGTGCATTAGATAGAAGATATAGTCTGATCAATTTTTTTTTTCGTGGTATAGCTTTTGTTCGTATTCACAAGCTAAAAATACTATTTGATTTTGAGTTTCTTTTCTCCACTAGGTATAGTAACTTTCTGTTCCTTTAATCAAAGTTCACTTGCAGGCCAAATATATCAGATTTGGAAAAACAGTTTTCTGATCAATCAAATAGACTTTTGAGTCTTCAAGAGATGGTTGATGATTTGGTTTGTCCCAACTCCTTAGCTGACACCGTTTGCCTTCTATAATGCAGCATTACTTAGCATCGTGATCAGCTTCCTTCACCTAATTAGTTTTGTACAGTAAATTTGTGATGTTAATATTGTGTCTGGCTGACATTCATTTATATGTTTTTGGCATCTAGCATGCGTATAATCCAGATGAAGATTATGCGGAGGTGGAAGCAAAACTGCGAGCACATCTGGAATTATTTTTAGAAACTGCAAGATCCTTCAATACAATTTACACCGAGGTTGTTTTTTGGTCTCACATTCACTTTATATTCTTGATATGCAGTCATCTCAAGTTTCTTCTCAATCTGAGCCCAGTCAATCAATGGATTCTGTTCTTTTAGTGGCTAAGTTCCAAAGTATTTTGTGTATATGATGAATTAGGAAACAATTCTATCTGGTGGGACTTCACATGGATTCTTGATTATGATGTTGCTTTATCATTAGTTGAAAATGTTTAAGACAAAGGATCTATATGCTGATGTGCAAGATCATGTGGATTTGTGGCTATTATGGTACTACTCTAATTGTTAAGAGGCTTTGCGCAGAAACTTCTTGTCATAGCCGTCTGTGTGTATTTTCAATGTGCTTATATGAATGTGATGACATGTACATACATGTATATGTTTTCATAATTCTGCTATTTGCAGGAAATTTGTCCCTGGACACACATGATGGAGGAACCTCAACTGCATGGGTTTGGGCCAGTTGCTAATAGATTGCTGGAGGTGTACAAGACGCTCTTGAAGGTATTGCTGAGGTCTCTTGGATGAAATTGTACCGGATGTATTGAATTGCTTGATACTTATATCAAAAATTTTTGATTGCAAAGCGTCTTTCCATGCTTCTAATTTAGTTTTAATTCCTAATTTAGATTCCTCAATCAATACTATGCCATCAACAAAGGGCATACACTATGGAACTTCATTATGAATATGTTTTGTTGATTTGCTCATATCCAAAGGCAAAAATAAAGCGGATATGAGTAAGCAATACGACAAATTTCTGCTTTAAATTGAAAGACATAATTGCTCAGAAGACCATAACGCAATTCAAACAAAGGTTTCCAAAAATTTCTGAGTAGTGTCTTTGTTGCTTGGCTTCTGTTGGAAAATATTGCGGTCACCAGAGGTTGGCGCTATCCAATAGGACCAATACTGGCATTAGATTTTGTACTTTTACCTAATGTACTATATTTTTGAGAGTGTTTGGTGCTGAGGCATCCCTTTGTTCTCCTATCTGGCAGTTCCTTGGGAACCTGAAGAATCTTCGAGACTCGCATGCAGCAGTGGCTGTTGGGTTATCTGAAACAATTGCTAGTAAGCCTTCTTCTGTCACGAGAATAATCTCGGAGTGTGAAACTCCATTAACATTCCTGAATCATGATCTTGGAATCCTTTCGGCTTCTATTGCTCGTCAGCAAGGTGAGGAGATCACTTTGTGAAAAAAAATCTGTATTTTATATGGAATCTATCAAATAGTGCCTTTTCGATCCTTGTGGAATTGAAATCACCATCTTCTGTCTTCGAAAACAATGATTGAATTAAAATGAAGCATAGTTTATTTACTTGTTTCTTATTTCTCAAACATCGAGTGCTGAATCTTGCTTTGATATTGGTAGTGAATATGTTGCCATGTGAGCTTTGGGTCTCAATTGATTTGGGAGTTTCTCTTTTCAGGAAACACCAAAATGTTAGTCCCTGCTCCCACAAGTTTTTTTTTTAAGTACTTTCCATACTGCATACTTACCGTTATGGTTGTGAATGTGCGGAGCCAACTTGATTAAGGTGCAAGCTTTGGAAGCAAGTACTGTAACCTTAAATGAACATGGCGCTGAATGGAGGCTGAGGTCCTGCTCGATAAGCTTGGGAAGCCAAAGCCTAGCTTAGTACTATATGAGTAGGAGAGATCTTATCTTAAGAACGTAGGTATTCTCTCTACATAGAGGTTATTTGACGATTCCCTTAAATAGCCGCATCTTTGGGTTGAAGCTATGGGTAATGTGAAAGTTTCATCCTATAATTGGTGGAGAGGTAGACCAATAATTTCTTATCCTAAAGGAAAGGGCAATAAAAAAAGAAAAGAAAAGAAAAGAAAAAATCAACTAAAATTGTGGGCTAAATATGATATGTTGCTGTGATAGTATCAACGATATGACCATGGATAATGTCAATGTATAAGTTTTGAATTGAAGATTTCTTTCTTTTGATTTTTCATAATATAGTGATAGACATGTGGAATGAATTGAAATCTAGTGTTTAATAAAAATCATTACTTCGTTTTTTAAATATTGGTCATTAAGTTGTAATCTGAGTTTTAGATTTGTCATTTATTCAAGTAATTAACGTGAGTTGCTGATAATACTTATGTGGAAAAATTATGTGTTGCTTTTTGTCATCATAAATGCATACATGCCATTGTTAATTGTGGTCAAAATGTCATTAATTCAAAGATTTTTTATGTTAACCTTTCAAGCGTATCTAGGATTTACTCTTCACCATATCATCTCGAGTTGGATTAAATATTCATCAACAGTAATACCACGTCATTATGACGATCAAATAACAACAAATCATCTAAGTTAAAATGTAAAGTTGATATTAGGGTTTATTAGAGAAAGAACAAAGGAGGAAGAGAGAGAAAGGGGGGGGAAGAGATTGAAAGAAATACAATATTACCCACACTAGTTTATGCTCATAAATATAAATATAAAACATAAAAATAAGCTCTAACAATATACACATAATGTACATCATATCGATTATTAGTCATTGTCCATGCTTGAAGACATTATATTAAAAAAAAATTGCACTTGAAAGCAATGTATAAAAAAAAAAAAGTCACCACTTAATATAGACCCACTATTCAAAATAAAATGGGCAAAATATACTCTGACAACACGACCCTTGGACAATATCAATCTATGTACACAGTTTATAAAATAATAATAATAAGTACAAATCTTTATTTTAAAAAAATGGCTCACGTCACCATCCTTCGTAATGAAACCGAAGAAGCTACAAGTGAGAGAGATGCGAGAGAAGGAGGAAGAAGAATTATAGAAGGGCAATAGATAGGAGAGACGTGATAAAGACGGAGACATGAGAGAGTGCAGTAGAAATGAGAGAGTGGAAGACGTGAGAGGGTAGTAGACGTCACGTGAGAGTGGACAGTACTTGGGGCAAAAAGTAAAGACGTGAGATATATTGGCCTGAAACTTAATTTTCAGCAATGATTTTTAGCCATTAGACTGATTTTGGACTAATTTAAAAATTATCTGAACTGCGAAATACAAAAGTCATTTTTATGTCTTTGAAAATTTGAAATGCCTTGTATTTTATTATATAGATATACCCCAGAAAATCTAGAACTAAGTTAATCCCAAGTAATATTTTCTTACTATAAATGCTCATTCTAATCTTCATACAAGACAACCTCATGCACACTTCCTGTCCCTCTCTCAAAGAACCATGGCAACCATGGTATCATTTCACTCATTTTTCTTCATATCTCTTGCAATATCCATCATATTTATCTCTAGATTCTCCATCACAAAAGCTAACAATGGCGGTTTCACTGTGGATCTAATACACCGAGACTCGCCAAAATCTCCATTCCACAACCCTTCTCTAACTCCTTCACAACCCCTGAACAATGCTTTGCAACGTTCATTTTCCCGTGTTCATTGTCTCATGTCATTCTCTCCTCTATCAGCTTCAGCCAATGTAACCCCCAATGGTGGAGAATATATCATGAAGATATCCATGGGGACCCCACTGGTTCAAATTCCTGCAATTGTCGATACTGGTAGTGACCTTATATGGACACAATGCTACAACCAGAAGCCTCCTTTCTTTAGCCCAAACAGTTCTTCTTCATATAAAGTGGTACCTTGTGGTTCAAAACAATGCCTATCTTTTCCAAGAACTTCTTGCCTCCCAACTACGAATACTTGCCAGTACTCAGTCAGTTATGGAGACAAATCTTTCAGTCGCAGTGATCTCGCCACTGAAACAGTAAAATTGGGTTCCACCACCCTCCGCGACATCATTTTTGGCTGTGGACACGACAATGGCGGCACGTTCAGCAATGCTGGAGCTGGCATAGTTGGCCTCGGAGGTGGTCAAGTTTCGCTTATCTCATAGATGGGATCTTCCATTGGAGGCAAATTTTCTTATTGCTTGGTGCCAATGTCTGCCCAAAACACCAAGGCCAGCAAAATGAATTTTGGAGGCAGTGGTGTGGTTTCAGGGCGTGGGGTGGTTTTAACTCCAATAGTCTCAAAATCCCTTATGTTTTCTATTTCTTGACACTGGAAGGAATCAGTGTTGCAAACAAAAGGTTGGACTTTTACATGTCCTCAGCCTCATCAAATGCTTCTAAGTTAGCTCAGGCCAGTAACATTGTCATTGACTCTGGTTCAACCCTGACCCTCCTTCCGCCAGATCTCTACAGCCGGTTAGTGTTGACCGTGAAAAAATACGATCCAGGCCAGACTGGTCAAGGATCCGAAATTGATGCTAAGTTTGTGCTACTCTAAGTTGAATTTTAGTTCCATACCTATTATTACTGTGCATTTCAGGGGTGGAGACTTGAAGTTGAATCCATTGAACACCTTTGTTAGGACTAGCTTGTTTTCCATATGCTTGGGTTTTGCCCCAGCTGGAGAGATCGCCATTTATGGTAACCTGGCACAGATGAACTTCTATGTGGGCTATGACCTAAAGAAGAAGATGATTACCTTTAAACCTATGGATTGCACCGAATAGTGATCAATATCAGACACAATTTTTTATCTTTGCAATTTTATATGCAAAGAATTTAGTGTGACTCTCTCTCTCTCTCTCTCTCTATCTTACTTAATTATGTTTGTCAATATGTAATCTAATAGTGATTTATGCACTTAAAAGGGGCATAAAATTTTAATATGCCATATATTTATCACTTTTCCAGCAATTTTTTGCCAATGGAAATGATCACGTGCCCAACCACCAAGGATCAAAATTTCGTTTCGAAGTACCGTTTCGGTCAACTCAAAAATAGAAACGTTTCGGAAACATTTCGGAAACGCAGAAAAAATATGGAAACGCATAGAAACACAAATGCAATCCATTAATTTATGAAGATATACTAAATAATTTATTAATTAAACATATTTATTAGGTTAACATCAATTTATACAAGAATAAATTTAAATTTGAGGGAAAAAAAGGCTTGACTTGAGGCGAAAGTCACTTAAATTAGTTTCAAACACTTAATTTTTATGAAATAAACACATTTTTACATAATATTAAGGTCTTATAATACACATGAAATGCTAATGAGTACATACTTACATGGTTACATCCATTCCCCTGTGGAGTGTCGAGCAGGCTCATACATCGGTGTAGGCTCTGGGTAGCTACTTAGAGAAACTCCATATGTGACATAAATATGATGACAATAGTTACTCCAAATCATATTATTACGGTAATATAATCCAATTAATAATACTATTTTATTATAATACTAATAATGAAGGGTATCAAATTAAATTAATGATACTTATGTATACTTAAAAATTAAATGTAATTGCAGTGGGTATTAAATGTAATTACAGTAGGTATTAAATATAATTACATTAGGGTATTAAATGTAATTGTTAATACTTATAACAAAAAAAAAAAGCAAAAAACTTGCACAGCAGTGAGGTATTAAATATAATTACAGTATGTATTAAATATAATTATAATGGGTATTAAATATAATTATAGTAGGGTATTAAGTGTAATTATTTATTCTTATAACCAAAAAATTATAAAAGACAGAAGAGCAGTAAGAATTAAATGTAATTATAGTGGGATATTAAATATAATTATAGTGAGTATTAAATGTAATTACAGTGGGTATTAAATGTAATTATAATGGGGTATTAAATATAATTATTCATAATGAACCGAATATATCACTGTTTTGTCGAAACGGTACTGTTTCGATCGAAACGGTTCGAAACAATGCCGTTTCGACCGAAACGGTCCGAAACAGTACCGTTTCGACCGAAACACTGGAATTTTGTGATTCAACTACTGTTTCGTTTCGGAGTGTTGAAATTCCGAAACGTTTCGGACGTTTCGGACGTGTCGACACGACATTTTGATCCTTGCCAACCACAAGATATAAATTTGAATAATTGAAGATATAATGAACACAAATTCTATTTTACTTTGACCACCCCAACCTGACCACCAACTTTTCCTATTTAGCCACTATCTTGACCTACGATCCAATTGAAAGGGCACGGGATACTGCTAAGACTGTGACCAAACACCATTTCCAACAGTAAAGAAGTTAAGCATCCCATTCAAACTATAGAGACCAAACCTCAGTTTCACCTCATGAAAACAGCAAACTTATGCAAGTTAGGTTTATGAAATCAAACGTCATATTCTCAAAAATAGTATCACCGTTCTTCACCAAGTCAGTCTGGAGATCTCCACAAAGTCCATTCGCTTATAATCCCTTTTGACATTCGACCAATCTGTCTTTTTCTCTGCAACCTCATGAGCAAACACACCCAATTCAAAGACCCCCTTGCTATTTTGTCAGTTTTTTGCGGAGTTTCACATAGTAACAAAACAATGGCTATGAACCATAATTGGATGTTATCCAAGGCTATTAGATTTTACACAGAGATGTGAAAATTAAATGGAGACATTTATTTTTGTTTCTAAATGCCTGTGTCTGTTAATTGGATTGTGAGATGGGAAAAATAGTTCATGATTATTTATTGGAAATGGGATTTTGCTTGGATATGTATATTGGTAATGATTTGATTACTATTCACATGAGGCTCAATGAGTTGGAGAAAGAGCACAATTTGTTTGAAGAAATGCCTCATATAGATTTTGTTTCTTAGCATAGTTTGGTTTTTGGGTAAAGGTCAAATATTTATTGGGTGGAAGCATTGGAAATTTAGCATTTGTGAAGTGCCTCAGATTGTGAATACTGGATCCTAGATTCGAACCTGTTTCCAAATTCTATATCCAAGCAAGAGAGAATGCATCCATGATTACATTTTAGTTTAGCAGTTACAGCATGGAAATGGTATTTGACATGATCATCACAGGAAGGCGATGAGGGTGTCTAAAGGTGCTTTATTTTGCTTCATGGCTCACTTGTGAGGCTGGTTGAGACTTTGGAACCTATTTGACGTGCTAGGACTTGGACAATTCAATAGCAACTGTGGTTATTAGAATCCCAATCCTGATCTTATGATCCTACAATTGGGTGTTCCAAAGATATCAAATCCATCTGGACTGGGCATATAAGCCTGAAAAGTAAAATCCTGATGGAATTCGGATTCGAACTGCTTGAATTGTTGGACTTGGATCCCAAGATGAATCCTAATTGTACTTGATGGCCTTACAATTATTACTCCCCTGGACCTTTTTAATAGGTGTGGACACATGGTGCAAAATAAATTTGTAGAATCAAGACAGTGCACCCCTTTAGGTAATCAGTAAGGAACTTTCCACAAATTCCATCTATCCAGAGAGCATCATGAGAGCCGTGAAATTTTCATATTAGCATCTACGTGGAATATTTCCAACTTTTGGTATTGCAGGTGAGATTTGTTCATGATTTGAGGTAGATTGTTGTAGGGAAGGACTTCCACCAGAAACTGAAGACTTTATGCAAAGCAACTAATCAAGTAAGCGTGACTAATTGATGAAGGGTGGGGATGAGAAAAAAAGCATGGCAGGTACTGGTTAGTTTCATTCATGTAGTAGTTGTTTCCTTTTCTGGAAAAGTTATGTCTGGCAACCAATATTGTTTCGTTGTGTCATTTGTCCTGTTACTGTTTTGCTGTTTGATATTTATTTTTCTTCCTCGTGTAGAGCTTTTAAAATTAATTTGGAGTAAAATAAAAGAGGTGGACTAAGGAATGGGATGCAATAGATAAATTGTACTCTTCTCTGTCAATGTTTTGCAGGCAACTATTCTTTTGTTGCATAACCCATTAGGTAAAAATGAGAATTCTTTTGATCTTTTGCATAGTGTAGCATTAAGGCAGTGATACATATTCATCTAACGGATAAATATAACAGATGCTCTCAACTATAGTTCTACAATTTTTTGCTGCATTCGTCTTTCATTTTTGTCCTGTGAAAAGGTGAGATAGGGCTTGGTTTATGTTATTACTATTGCAATCTGTTTCCTGCTTTAGGAATGAAGCAAATTAATGGTACCTAACTATGTGTATGATCACATCCAAATTGCAGTATGATTTGTTATATTCAGCTTGCTTTGTTTTGAACCAAGGATCAAAATTTCGTTTTGAAACATCCGAAATGTTTCCATTTTCAAGGAGATCAAATGAATTAGTTATGGAATTGAAGTTCCAATGTTTTTCAGAATGTTTTTAGATGTTTCAGCATGTTTCCACCATTGTTTCAGAATATTTTGAGATGTTTTGATCTAGTTCAATCAATGTTTCAAAATATTTTGGATATAAATTCTCAATTTTTTTATTTGTTTTCATTATATTATCGAAATGTTTCCATTTCCTAGGTGACCGAAACAATACACCGAGATGAAATTTTGATCTTGTTCAAAACATGCCTTATCAATGTATCTGGAGTCTACTAGGACTTTAACCATGAACAATGTTGATGCTTAATCTTGTCTTACCATACCAAAATGTTATGCTTTTCTATGCTGTATGTAATAACATTAAGTTTTTATTTTCGAAAAATGCAAATAAAATGGCACTAATGGAGATCAGAAAATGCAAATAAACAGAATGTGCTTTGTGCAATATGAATCATTTTGTTGCTAAATCACTCAGGGAAAATAGAGCCTGTGGTGCTCACTCAAACTTGTTGGATAATGAGATTATCAGTCGTGCCGTTTATTCTTTGAAAACACCAAAGATAGGACCCTCTACTGCATAATTTCAAGTAAAGTCGTTCAAGGTAAGTGCACACACTGAAGCACATCATCTTTAGTAGGGAGGTTTATCATTGGATCTTTGTTCAAACAATTCTACGAGCCCTCTTCTAGGAATTAACTTCCATCCAATAGGCGATAACAAGAGAACGAGAAAACTAAGACTCAAAAACACAAGCACCACAAGAACACAGATTTACGGGGAAAAAAACACGGCACAATCCATTGAAAGTCCTACTTTAAGGTTTTGAAATAGCTTGAGGAAGTGGATCATTTAGGTGCAGCCGCCGCCAGGTATGCCTCATGCATTGCTTTGAACTTAGTGCTTAACCTGTCTCGAGGTTGCCCACATTCATTGATTACTAGATCATCTGAAAACTTCTCCATCCATGCTCATAACAGTGGAAATTTGTCCGAGTCAATCACCTTTAGAGTAGTTACCTCTTGTAGGACACTAATGAAATTAGCTATCCAACCAAATGCTAGATCCATAAAACCGATTTTCTCTCCACCAAAGAAAATCTTCCCCTTCAGCTGCTCTTCTACCAATTTCAGGTTCTCCACAACTGGAACAATTGTCTCTTCTTGCTCTGTTCCTTGTTTAATGAAAGCCCGCCATACTGAAGGCAAAAGCTGCATTCAAGAGAAAAACATAGGTAACTTTGTGAGCTAGTTAGAAATGTCAATCATAGAGTATGATTTCAAAGGTTTCAACCCCGGGAGGTTGGATCTGGAACAATGGTAAGTACTAATCTGCTCATATGAGTCTTTGTGGGTTCAAGTCCGAAAGTCAGCTGGTGTTAGACAACCTACACCCCTCTCTCCCAGCTGCTATAGGCATTAGTTTTGTGTACTCTAAAATCTTTTTGTTTATATGCAAGAAGTTTATGTAATGAACTAAGATGTAATGAAATAGGTTGCCTAGTGCAGTAGTAAAAGTGTCAGATCAACAACCACAATGTTGTGGGTTTAAATTTGAGGCTACCAATTTATCTGAAATTGTAAAATTAGGTTGATATCTGGTCCACCCGTCCTCATTGAAGTGTACTCATTAACATGAGAGATGTTAATTATGAAATTGAACTTAAGCAAATATATCAAAGCCTTGATTGTTATTCTTGTTCAGGGCAAGTCAGCCTATATCTATATGAGAACTGTGTTTGTTTACCTTTTCATCATTGAATTTTGCCCAGAAACTTGTTATAGCTTTCTCATAGGGGTCTTCAGGTAGTAAGGGATTTTGCTTCCATTTTTCTTCGATATGCTCCAGAATTAAAAGTGATTCTAATATTGGCTTTCCATTGTGCACAAGCACTGGAACTTGTTTTTGAACAGGATTGTATTGGAGGAGGAGAGGGCTCTTGTTGTCAAGATCCTAAAATATGGTCTCAAATTCTATGCCCTTAAGTTTCAGTGCCCAAACTATCCTCGGGGCTAGTGGACTTGACCATGTCCTGAAAACCTTCACTTCTTCTGCCATAATGTTTTGATAAGCAAACTGTGATGGCTTGGATCCTTTATATACACATCTTTTTCAATAACTTCTTGTCTTTTTATTTTTGGAATATTAGTTTATAACTTTATATGCCTATAGACATACTTTGTTAGACAACAAGACAAAATTCATAGTAGGTCTCTTGTTATCTTGTTCTTGTTATCTAGAAATCAGCAGGGTCAGAATTGTTGTTGTTATTAGTGCACCAATGAGTCAGAGAAATAGGATATCAATCGAGAGTGATGTTACGGTTAGAAGTAGACAAGTTTGGACTATAGTCTTTGAACAACTGTGTTTTGGTATCTCATGGCGACAGCTTTGTAATTGCAGACCAATATTTTTAATTGTATGTATGCTTTGAATAGTCAGTTCATAGGTCGGCAAGGCTCAATCAAAGTTCCAGTGAAATCAAGCCTTTTTGCTCAAAACACCCACCTCAACTTACCTGGTTTGTAAGTGTAGTCCTACTTCATTTCTTCATCACCACAAACTCCCACCGTCGGCCGTTTGGTTGGTGTTTTTTTTTTGTTTTTGTTTTTTTTTTTTGGGGGGGGTCATTGTCTATTTATAGGGTTCTGTTTGTACTTTGTAGCAGTATGTTGATTTGGTTACAATCCTTGGTGGAAAGAAACGATTGTTGTTAACTGATATTCTTTCTGGTTTCAGGTATTAGAAAAAAATGTTGTGTCTAGACAGTGCACTTCAATTTAATGATACTATACTTTTCGGAATTTGGATCTCTTAGAGCATCTAACTAATTTCCTTTGCATATGCCAATACACCCATTACATATTCGCTAATGTAATCATCGGGACTGCATTTTTTATAGGAAAATTAGACCAAGCAATTATGTTTTTTTATTTTTGGGTTCAACAGTCAAGGGTGTTTGAGTCAACTTTCGTGTCCCTTGACTAATTTTTTTTTTGATCCGGTCAGAGGTAAGTCATCCACACCGGGATTAGGATATTCATGAGAGATAAATTCATCATGTTCTAACCTCAAGGGGTTATAAAGATTCAAATTTAAGATATTTGTGTTTATAATTCGTCTTTGTTACCAGTTGAACTACCTCTTCGGGTTCAATTATGCTTTGTGTAAAGCAAGACAAATTTTGACTATTTTTGGTTGTTTGAAGTCATTAAACAGAGATCGTTTTTACTGTTGGACCTTTAGATCATAGGTTCAAATATCGTCCAAAAAATAGAAATCGTTAAGAATTGAGCAGATGTTTTTAACAGGTCATGGTCTCTTGTTTCTATGTTTTTGGTTTGGTGCTTGTGAAAATTACATTGAACACCCTTGAGTTTCGAAATGTTGCTAAAGACGTAAAAGGTATGAAATAACAAACATTGAAACTGTCGGGGGTGTTCCTAGTAATTCCTCACAACCGAAGTAAAAAGCACAAGACTATATGCTTCTCTTGCTATTTTTTTTGCTTCCAAAAGAGGTGAGAAGGGACAACCAGAGTAGCAACTTTGCTCGGTGTAACCAAAGAGGTTTCCATCAATTGTAGAATATTTAGTTTGAGTCATACTTATTGACCCGATAAGGGTCAAGCCTATCATGACAGCCCCACTGAGGCGTGGGTGAATATTCAACCCCTCAATAGGATTTGGTTCATGCAATTACTATGACAAACGAGTTTGAATAAACGATCGTTGAGAGAAGAGCGAGAGTCTTATACCAATTGTTGAAACCAACTCAGTTACATAGACGGAGTATAGAGGAAGGCTTGCATCAAATGGAAGCCACCCCTGAAATTATGGTAATAATATTAATAGTCAATTTGGTACGAAGAAAAATGGATGGATGAAAAAAATGGTGGATGAAAAATAAGGGGGAAAGTGATATTTTATTTTATTTGGTTGAAGAAGGAAAATGGAAAGTAACGAAAGAGGAAGGAAAGCCTATACCTCACGCCCACCAAATTCAATCCGTTCAAATTTGGGCAGATAAGTGGGCATAATGATTACATTTGTTAAATTACCTTTATGCCCTCCAAATGGAGGCTGGCTTACTCTTTTGGAAAAATAAAAAACACGTGGGTCCACCTTTTTTTTACTTCTTTCATCTAACAAAGAAAATAATGTGGGGTTCACATTTAATAAGATATTTATGGTATTTAACACATTATTTATTATTTTATTTTATTTTTTATTCTAAATAAAATAATAAAAAATTTATCTATTTTACTTTTTCATCTTTCCTACCAAACAAGAATGATGAAAAACATCTTTCTTACTATATAGGTAAGAAAGACATCTTTCCATTTTCCTCTGAAAAATGGAAAGTTCAATCTCTCTTATTTTCAATCCCTCCAATTTTTAATCATTCTTACCAAACATACCATAAGATTCCTATATTTTATGCAATCTAACAAAAATATTCCTCTCAAACTAAATTTAAAAAAAAAATTATAATGGTTTAAAAAATAAAAAATACTCAATATAGTGATACTATGTCATTGACACATGATATCATTAATCAATTATGACTTACTATATAGGTCTATTGGACCCCACTATTCTAATAATTGTTGACCGCCACCACTAGTAACTATCACATTAGATTAAGGTAGGGGTTTCCAGGGGCTGGGTTACTCACGGATCCTGTTATTCGGCCCAAAAAAATAGGTCCGAAACTCGATAGACCTGATAGTTGGTCTGTCCAAGTCCAAGCCCAATATCTTTAAAAAGAGGACTTGGGTTTGCCCCCGAAGTCCGGCTCAAGGTTTGCCCGTCAAGCCCACCTGCCAAGCTCAACTCGCTCACATAGTCCGTCCACCTTTCATTTGAAAAAAAAATTATACTTTTAGACCATTAAATTTGAAACTTTGAAATAAATTTTTCAATGTTAAAATTTGAAGCTTTAGATATTTAGATACTATAAATAATGTATTTATTTATGAAAATTTGGAGGCTAGTCCCCTTTGTGGACTTATTTTGTGATAAGTCCATTAAGGATACTTGTTTAATATTAAGTCTATTTGATTTTCATCGTCCAAAATACACTTAGTAATTATGTTTAATTAAAATAAATTTGAAAACTAATAACTCCTAAATTTTAGAAGTTTGACTAACATTAAAATTCTCTATCCTTCATATATATTTATATCCATATATAGAATAAAACTATTTATTTCTATCTCATATATATACAAAAAATAATAAAATTTTAAATGTAAAAAAATATAAAACACAAAAAAAGTAATAACATTTAAGCAAAAAAAATAATAATATTCAAATACAAAAAAATAATAACATTGAGTATTAATATTTGAAAAAATAACAGTAGTAACATGTTCAATAAAAACAGTAACATAAACATTAACATGCTCACAAAAACAGTCACATGAACAGTAATATGGTAAAAAAAATTGGATATATAGAGAGAGAGGGTACCAGTTGTTCTTTGAATTTGAATTTCAAATTTACGTAAAAAAAATTATTGGCATATCTTCATTGATAGTGAATTAAGGGATAATAATTCTCAAGCTAAGAAACTAATTTAAAGTTGCTTTCAAGGAAGGGTATTTTGGAGTTTTAAAAAAATAGTGGATTTAACTATTTATTAGTAAGATTAAAAATATATTTATCCCCAAATAAGCTTTCTTGACGAACTAAACTCATTATAAGTTTCTTAAGAAGGACTCAACCCCAATTTTTACTTATTTTATTTTTCATGTATTAAGCATACAAGTTTTAAAGGATAGAGTAATGCAAATTCTAAATAAGTGAATAAGTGTCAACCTAGTTGAAATGTATTTATTCTATTAGATGTAGTTCATCTCCTAATTAAAAATAAAATTATTCATTATTTTATTTTTACTCAATTTTTGTTTTAAAAATATAATTTACAAAAATATTAAGTTACAAAAATATTCATTATTTTTAAATAAAGTAGTATATAAAAAAACCCGCGAACAGGCCTGTCTAGCAAGCCAGCCTAATAGGCTTGCAGGTAGCCTACCCCTACCCTATACCCGACCCGGCCCGTCGAATAACTCACTTGGCAAGAGCTTGGGCCTACACCACTCAAGCTCGGCCCAGCCCATGGACACCACTAGATTAAGGTGTCAATCGTATTGTGTTCGTGTGACTCATGTGTCATGTATTTTTTGTGTTGGGCATTTTTATTCATGTCGTATTCATATTAAGATTTAGTATGTTCTGAATATTAAACATAAGTTTAAACTATTTGTTATGCGTATTTAATAATTGTGTCAATTTTATAATCATATGTGTCAGATTTATATTGACTTCGCATGAACGGGTCAGAGTTGACGCAGTCTAATTAACTGACATTCACTTGTCTTGCCTGATAAGTTATAATAGATTGGTAACATACGTGTCCATAATGAAGTGGAATGAATTATTGTGGTAAGAGTTGGAAATAATTTTGAATAAGCCGGCTAAGGCTCAAAGCAAATGTCAAGTGAAATTAGGTCCCTTCCTCAAAGAATTAGACTATGCTACGGGATTTTTTTTTTGGTACTATATTAAAAAAAAATGCTTTTTAGATATAATACTGAAAAAAAAAATATTTGTGGTTATAAATCTTTAAATCTTCGCTTGATTAAATTTTTAGCCATTGATTAAGAAAATAAATAAAATATTGAAATATGAGAACTTTCAAAGTTAAATCGATTATATACATGAGCTAAATGAAGAATGACCGAGAAAAGCTGCGAAAATGTTTTTTGGTTGACTATGTGAGCGATATGCTACCTCCAAAAGAGGCAAGGGTGTGTCTATCCAACAGCACGGTCTAAGGCAAATTCCAATTGTTGAAGGAAGGGAGTGTTGGGATTTCACACGATTTAAATCCATTAACAAACACACACAATCAAAAAACAAATCAAGAATATAAAGCAATAAGAAACAAGAAAGAACAAGACACAGATTTTACGTGGTTCGACAATTTGCCTACGTCCACGAAGTTGCAGGGATTTCACTATTGAGAAAGTTGAATACAGAGAGCGGCTGTACAATCCACGATTAACTCTAATCACCAAAACAACAGGGTTTATATGTCCTCAGAAAATTTTCCATTAAAAAACCACACAACATTATTTCGGGTCGGGTCATCGTCCGGATCACATATACAAACTAGACTCCATAAAAAAAAACCAACAGGGAGATCGGGTTCAGTCTTATGTGTCACGTTTTTATTACTAAAAAATAAAAGATGTTGTCCAATCAAAATTCCTGCAATTGGGTTTTGATGATAGGCTTGGATAGGAATGTGATATATTTTTACCCTATCGCATGTTTGAGAATGGTTGAACAAGAGTAGAAGAAATATGTAGGTCTCATGATGTTATATAAAATCAAATTAGTAATTTTATTGCTAATTTCAATCCACCCATTTGAATAACAACTCTTACGTGGGTTTTAAATTAGGGGCGTCAATTCTGACTCGTTAATACGAATTCGACATGATACGATTGTATCGTGTCTATAATTTCCACGATTATTCAGTACATATAATAAATGGTTTAAATTAATATTTAATATTTAGAACATATTAAATAGATTGTTATTAATAGATCTTGACATGAACACTGCACAAAAATACCAACAAGCGGATGATACGAAACAAATTGCCACCCTAATTTCAATAACCTCATGTACATAAAATTATTTCACTCGAGTGTTTAGGAGCATTACAAACTCATTATAAACCCAGCAAAGAGACCGTCCCGCATAGGTTAACGGACACTGAATTATTTAAAAAAGCAGCAAACCCTCCGGTTGTTTCTTGGGAAAACTGAGCATTTATTTTATTTTCCTCTGCATTATCTCAGCAACCAAGCTGAGCATTGGGTTAATGCATGTACGGCACAAATTTAGCTATTAATGCAATACTCTCTAATCAATCCTAGTCTTCTGACAATGAATTGTCTGATTTTGAAAAATCAAGTGATGATGATCATTATGTAAAATTTCTCCCTGCTACTATTTGCTTACATGACACACCACTATGCAGTTAGAAATATAATCATCATTAGAAATATTTTTTACTAATATGTATGTATTATTTTGTTTAAAATAAAATCTTATAGTTCTATTTCAACAAAAGATATAACTGTCTCTTTATTTTTGAATGTTTTTATCGCAAAAGAAATAAAATCTCTTTCTTCCCGGTTTGTGTGGGGAGGGGAGGGGTATGATGAGTAGTACTTTTGGAAATTAATAGTTTTATTATTTATTCTTTAATAGGGGTGGGAATGAAATTTTTATTTGTGGAACTACGTATAAATAGTCCCAAAAATACCATAATTTCAATAAGTGTGATAGCAGGGGAAAATTATAATATCTCTTCCCCTTTGATTTAGAGTTTATTGGTTGGGATTGGGGGCGGGGGGGAGGGGGGGGGGACGATTGCTATTCTTTTCTTTGATAATAATAGTTCCAGTGGGTAGGTTTTTCATTTGTAATTTAATTTTTCATTATGGTAAAAATAATTTTTTAATATGTTCAAAAAGTGTGATAGCGGGGGGTAGTTATCAATTTTTTCATGTCAACGTTTTGGGCTGGGAAGGGTAAAAATGGAACATACCCCAGAAAGCGAATATGTTAAACACACTTTCATTAGAAGCGTTTTATGTAAGGCCCGGGTTAAACAAATTCAGCTTTCATTTTAAAACATAGGTCAGTCTCTGCTTAAAATACTATATGAAGTCGGAATTGGTAATTCTGCTTTATGCATGAAGTCGGAATTGCTAATCCCGTTTTTAAGAGAAATCGTAATTGTTAATTTTGCCTTTAAAGTAGTCATAGTTTGATGTAGAACAAAAAACGAATTTGTTAATTCCGCTTTCCACATGAAGTCGAAAGTACTAATTATGCTTTCAGATGAAGTCGGAATTAGTAATTCCGCTTTCCAAATAAAGTCGGAATTGGTATTTCCGCTTTTAAATGAAATCGGATTTGTTAAATCCGCTTTTAAAACAACGGTAGTTTGGTAAATATGTTGAAAACGGCTGTAGATTGGTATTTAAATTTTATATTTGTTGTACATAGGTAATAGATTCGGTTTGCTTTCTACTTCTTTATCTTCTACTCGAATGTAGTTCACTAGATTTATTGAATCCTCTTTCCCCAACCAAAATAAAGTCTAGGACTAAAACTTTCAAAATACATATTTTTAATGCCCAAACTTGTATAATATAATACTAGCGGTCGTCCCGTGTCATATACGTATATCACTTCATCCTCGTCGTCACCACCCTAACTTCTACTTATTCTAACAATATTACAAAATTAATTACTAACATATAGTCCAGTGGTTGAGATTGATCTTTAATAATTTAGATTGATCTTTGATAATTTAGAGGCCGCAATGTCAATTTTTTCCTATGTTTTCTACAAGTTAGCTACCCTTATCCTTTTGGGGACATACTCTAACCAAGTTCAAGTCATGGTAGCCAGCCGCTAAGCTCGAGGGAATAGTTGACGCAAGTATGAACACACTGTAATAAAAAAAAATTAATATTTGACAAAAATTAAAAGATAAAATAATTAATATAAATGATAATAAATTTTAAAATGTAGTAGTTGTCAAAAAGGTGGATACATGTCAGATTTCAATTAGAGGACACCAATTAAATAATTCAAAATTTAAAAAAAAATTGATTTGTAAGGAAAAAGCTTATGAAACACTCTCTATCTTAAATTGACTCTTTTAGTATATAATATAGATTATTTATTTTAATTTTATATTTTCAAAGTGGATTGTTCAATAAAAATTCAAAATTCACATTTGTATATTATTCCAAGACGTACAATTCATCAAGTAGAGGTTTTTTTATAACTTTTTTTTTGGGAGGGTTGGGTTTTGTTTCATTGGGACAAAAGGCTACCGAGCTAGAGGTAAATAGGGAAGGTTGGAGGCTTACCAATGGATTTAGGGCATGTAATTTGGGCAGATTAATTTGAATCTGACCTAAGTTTAACCTGAAACATTTATTAACTAATTATTATTTGTGTCTGAAGATATAGAGTAATAAAAAAATTATCAATCATAAACATATTTGTATTCACACCCAAAATCAAATCACAAACATAAATGATATAAAAAAAAATTTAAACATCAATTGCATTAGGGGTAAGCGGTGGCGGCAATGGTAATGTTGGTGGTGGGTTTTGGATGATGATAATAGTAGTGGCAGCCATGAATGACGACAATGTTGGTGGTGGGTTTTGGATGATGATAATAGTAGTGGCAGCCATGAATGACGACAATGATGGTGGTGGGTGTGGGTGGTGGTGGATGAAGATGATAGTAGTTAACAGGCATGGTGGTGGACGACGATGGTGGTATTGGTGGCAGTGGGTGGCAACAATGGTGGGTTGTGATAGCGAGTGGTGGTGGGCAACGATGATGGTGGTAAGTGGTGGTGGTGGACGACAATGATGGTGGTAGTGGTAATAAATATAATAATGAGATGATAATAATAGTGGTAGCAATCGGTGGTAGATGACGACGACAGTAGTAGTGGTAATGGTTGTTATGGCAGATATGGCGGTGGGGTTGGCGATGATGGTGATAGTGGGGTGACAGGGGGTAGTGGGGCGGTGGTGATGATAGTAGTGATGATAATGGGGGTAATGGTGGTAAAGTGTTTTGTAGAGAAGTAATTTTAAAGAAGTAGAAGTTATTTTTTATTTTTTACTTTTACTTACGTACTTATTTAAGTGGCAAAATTATTTTAGACTTATTTGGAAGTAATTAAAAAAAATTGTTCCAAATACTACTTATTTTTTTTAAAGTGTTTATGAGAAGTCAAAAGTTTAAGAACACTTTCAAAAAGTCACCTCAAATGGCTCAAACACTTAAATGGTTTATTTTGCCTATTAAATTTTGAGAGTTAATATTAACCGTCAAATTAATTTTAAAATAAAATTTAAAATGATCTCAACAGCAAAACACAAAGGCTTATTTTTTATGTTATATTTTATTATATAAATTATTTAAAGATTGTTAGAGCATTTCCAACAATGTTATCTAAAATAGCTACTCAAAATATATTTAAATATTGTATTATCTACATTACCTAACCACTTTTTCAAATTTACTCCAACAACGCTATCTATTTTAACTAACCATTTTAACTAATTTTCAATAATAAAATTCAAAAAATAGCAATTCAAACAAAATTAATCAATTATGAGCTACAAGAGTAAATATCATAAAAGATGGGTTACAAGAGTAAATATCATAAAATACTTGGGGAGTTTTGCTAAATTTTTTGGGAATTTTGTTGAATTTTTTGGGGTTTTACTAGATTTTTGGAGAATTTTATTGAATTTTTTGGGGGTTTTGCTGGATTTGTGGAGGGTTTTACTAAATTTAGGGAGGGGGGTTTGCTGTATTTTTTGGGGAATTTTGTTAAATTTTTGGGGGATTTGCTAAATTTTTTTTTTTTGGGGGGGGGGGGGGTTTGCTGCATTTTTTGGAGATTTTGCTAGAAATTTGACGATGAAGCCTCTTAGATCAAACCCACAAATTTGACGAGGAAGCATCTCAGATCAAACGATGAAACCTCTCAGATCAAACCCTCAAAAAATTCCCACAAATTCCATGCTTCAAACTAGGAAATCAAACACGAGGGTGAAACCTTCACAGTCGGTGCTCCTTGAGCAAAGCCTCTTAGATCAAAACCCTCTCAGATCAAACATACCAAGATGGTATGGCAGTGACACTGTGGCTCTGAAGGCTTGTGGCTTGTGGGTTGTGTTGGCTTGTGCCTTTGACTCTGAAGCAGCTCTAAAGGCTTTAACTTCGATCGATGGTCTGAGAGAAAGAGGATGCTCTGTCTAAAGCTTCGAGTTTGATTGATTGATTTGGGATTTAGGTTTTGTGGCTTGATTTGGGATTTAAGTCATGTGATTTATTTGGGATTTAGGTTTGGAGGCGGTAATAAGATTTCAGGGTACTTGTGGCTTCAATGGTTTGTGGCTTTGAGGGCAATCGATGGAGAGGCAGAGAGAGATGAGAGTCTCTCAAACTCGAAAAGAAGGATGAAGCGAGGGAGAGACTGGCTAGCTAGATGAAGCGAGTGAAAAGGGGATTATGGGAAATGGATGGGAGAATAGCTAGTCTGTTGGGGCCACATTTTAGGGAGAAACTATCTAAAATAACTCAAAAAAGGGTTTTAGCTAGTCTTTTGGAGTTGCTCTAAGTACTTGGGATTGAACACTGAACCCCAATCATAACTTAAGTTATCTAACAAAACCCATGTTGTTTTGTAGCTTGGACAATTAACTATTGACATGACATAGAGGGATCAAATTCAAAATCCATGACCATAAGAGCCTAATATGGTCATCGAATAATCAAGCAAGAACTTCTAGCGAAGACCTTCATTCCCCCTTTGAGTCTTTACCACAACTCTATTGCACCTCTCAAATCCATGTCTCCTCCAAATTTTACAAAGCTGAGACAACCTAGACCAACCATTTTTATTGCAAATTATAAGGCAAATATAAGTTTGTGGCTAGTGAGCAAACCTGTAAAAGGTATACAACTCCACAAGCAGATCAAAAAACAAATAGAATGATTTGAACAATAGATACAACAACAGCCCAATTTAAACATTTCATTATACTTATGCTTCACAACTGTAGCTACCAATCAAAACCAAGAGTATATTCGTACCAAACTCTCCACATTGGATGATTGGAAACAAGTTTTTAACAATTTCCAGCTGAAAACTATGTACTTATAGTATGCCTCTAGATTACTAGGAAATGCAACCACAATTCTAAGAACATGTTTTGTCACCTCCCAGATTTGAAATCACCTTGTTAGAATCTTGCATCAAAGAAGAATTTTCTCACTAGGGTGTGATTTTCATCTCAACAAACTAATCCATATTGTCATTATGACCCTGAAGCTGAAATTGTCACTTCCCTTGTGCTGCAAAAAAACAAACTTTAGAAAGGCTCAAAATAGAGTCGAGCAAACGGGTGAAAACAAATGCCTCCTGTTTATGATGAACAAATTCTTCAAGTGCAAACATGAGTTGAAGGGCATGTCAAAGAACACAACTCAGTACCCACAGTCAATATGACACGGTTCGCAGAGATAGATGAGTTATTTAAAAGTGAGAGTGCAAAACCAATTGAATAATATGATTAAATAAAGACAAGAGATTAAAGTGATAGAGAAACAACATGACAAAAAAAAAGAGAGAGAAAAAAGGAAGCAAATAATAAACATAGGATGTATAAGTATTTGAAAGAAGTAAAGCAAATGACAGATGATGCGAAGCCAAGAAAATTCAGTCTCCTGCAACTATTTTCACCATTCTGTGATATCCACATGGTACACTATCATCAAGAAAACCAACAACAGATTCGTTGCCAGGAAATAACAATTACACAACTCTACATTAATGTCAATACAAATCTGAAGCCCAAAA